TCCAGCCAGTCACTGCACTGTTCTTGAACTCTGCACAGGATGTCAGACTCCAGAGGAAAATGAAACAGCCTTAGAGTGCTGAACAACAAGCAGAATATAGAATCATAGCAGCATTTAGGTTGGAAAAGACCTTTAAGATGATTAAGTCCAACCGTTAACCTAACTCTGCCAAGAGCACTGCTGCACCGTGTTCCTCAGCAGCACATCTTCATGGCTTTTAAACGTGTCCAGGGATGGTGATTCAACTGCTTTTCTGGGCACCCTGTTGAGCTCCTTTTGCCTGTCCCAACATCTGGATCTTAGTGTGTAGTGTTGGATAGCTCTGAACAATCTTCATTCTTCAGAGAAAAGAGTTCTTGCAGCAGAACGGGTGAAAACTGAGGACACAATCCTAGAGCTGAAACCCTTTTCTCCCCCTCAGTGGTCAGGTTGAGAAACTGAAATTCATTTTGTTGTGCAGATTACAGTCCTTCAGCTCTCGGCGTTGCTGAAGCAAGCAGACTCCAGCAAAAGGAAACTGACCCTCACTCGCCTGGCCTCCGCACCCGTGCCCTTCACAGTTCTCAGCCTGACTGGAAACCCCTGCAAGGAGGACTACCTGGCTGTGTGTGGACTGAAAGTAGGTGCCAGACAAACCCTTGTCTAGGCAGCTGGAGAGATCAGCTCAAACCCAGCTCTGTTTCTTTCCTCTGAGGAGCTCATGCAGAGCTGGCTCCCAAGATCTCTAATTTTAGCTCATGAATCACTTTCCTGCTAGATGTATGAAGTGAAAGAAGCAGGACCTATATGAATAATATAATAAATGAGACAGCACCTGAAAATAGTCCTTCTTATTGTATTTATACCAATTTTATTTTGAGAGAGGAGTCAAGGTTTAGTCATGTGAAACTTAGTGCAGTAGAACTAGTCTGTAACAACTAGTATTTTGTAGCAAGGACTCTGCTTTTTTTGTATTCTCCTAAATTTAGATTCACCTTTCACAGTGCAGAATCCACAAGGGGTTACTTAGCTAAGGAACAACTGGACTCTCTTAAATTGTGGCTTGGGTTTTGTCTTTCTTTACAAACTTTCATGTCATACATCTCAAGTGCAGGAATTTTAGGTTCCTGCTCTGTGACTCATTATTGGCACTAAGAGGAGTGCTGGATTTTAGCTTTGTTCTTTGCTAGAAATGTTTATAAACATTTTGTTCTAATATTTGGCCCATGTTTCTCATTTCTCCAGGACTGCCACGTGTTAACGTTCAGCAGCTCTGGATCAGTCTCTGATCATTTGGTACTTCATCCCCAGCTAGCCACTGGAAATTTCATCATTAAAGCTGTGTGGCTGCCAGGGTCTCAAACAGAGCTTGCTATTGTGACTGCAGACTTTGTGAAGGTATGTTTGGTCATGAGCATGTTTGGTGGTGATACATTTTTCACACAGAGTTTGAAGCTTTGCAGAGCTGTGTGTAGAAGAATGTGATAATATTCTTAGCTAGAAAGAAGTTGGAAATATAAATTTGTGGTGTTTGGCTACTGTTATTATAAGAAAAAGCAAAGCCAAAGAACCAAAAGGGCAAAAAAATGAACTGTAACATCTAAGTATTTTCTCAGCTCTTGTCTGTTTGCACTGCTTTTTATTGCAGTAATTAATTATTTCCTTGATCCTCCCCACAGATCTATGATCTTTCAGTAGATGCCTTGAGTCCAACTTTCTATTTCCTTCTGCCGAGTTCCAAAATCAGGGATGTGACTTTCCTTTTCAACGAGGAAGGGAAGAACATAATTGTGATCATGTCCTCTGCTGGGTACATCTACACACAGCTCATGGAAGAGGCAAGCAGTGCCCAGCATGGACCATTCTATGTCACCAATGTGCTTGAAGTCAATCATGAGGACCTGAAGGTACTGGTGACTTCCCTTTTTTCTAGCATGACTGCAGTGCCTTTCTCTCTTTTGTGTCTTAAATTTGAAGACAGGAGTGTCCTTTTTTCCTTTCTTTTTTCCCTGATCTTAGATCAGTGAGTTTGCCATTCCTCTAAAGAGAAAAATAGCCCTGCAGTGAAAGGAGGTGGGGTGAAAAATAAACCCTGTGATGCTTTCATCTAGAAAATGGAGCATGTTTTCTGTGGCTGGCTCTGAAGTCATGCCCAGCAGGATTTCTCAGCAGGGAGGTGGCTTCAGAGTGGTGCTGTTTTCAGAGCAAGGCACTCCAAAGGTGCATTCACCAGAATGGATAACATTAGTGACCACTGCTGGGGCTGCAGAGGTGGAGTGAAGCCTTTGTTTCTGGTCAGCAGCAGCTCTGAGATCATGAGGGTGACTTTTAAAATCTGTCCATGTGTCACTCAGTGTTGCTACCTCAGCCTGCTCCAAAACAGGGCCATAGATGAGAAGACAGCACAAAGAAAAGCTCTTTAATGAGCTGGGACTGTGGGGAGAGCTCCATGTGATTGTCACACAACATTTAAGCACAGAGAGGTTGTAGCTGAGGGCACTACCTACCACCTATGGGTGTGTGCTCTCAGTATTCCCTTCAAAAGCCTTGGAAGAAGCTGGTGGGTGAGTTCACCAAGGAGTTCAGCTTAGGAAATTGTTGTTTAGGGCTCTGTTTTCTCACTGGTGGGGAGAGGGTGTGGGAGTTTGGAATAATTCCATCATTAGAAATTTATAAACCTGAGAGAGCGTTTTGGAGAATCATAGAACTGTTCTGGCTAGAAGAGACCTTTTAAGATCATCAAGTCCAATTGTTAACCCAGCACTGCCAGGTCCTCGGCACCACGTCGCCACGGCTTGGAACCCCCTCCAGGGGTGGGGACTCCACCACTGCCCTGGGCAGCCTGGCACAGCCCTGTTGGGGAAGAAATTGTTCCTCAGGTTCAACCTAAATCTCCCCTAGCACAACTTGAGGCCATTTGCTCTTGTCCTGTTGGTTGTTCTTTGGGAGAAGAGCCTGACCCCCCCCTGGCTCCAGGCTCCTGTCAGGAGCTGTGCAGAGCCAGAAGGTCTCCCCTGAGCCTCCTTTGCCCCAGGCTCAGCACCCCCAGCTCCCTCAGCTGCTCCTCCCCACACTTGGGCTCTAGACCCTTTCCCATCTTCGTTGCCCTTCTCTGGCCACTTTCCAGCCCCTCAAGGTCCTTCTGAGAGTGAGGGGTCCAAAACAACCCAAGATTTGAGGAGCAGCTTCCCCAGTGCTGAGTGCAGGGGGGATGATCCCTGCCCTAGTCCTGCTGGCCACACTAGTGCTGATCCAAGCCAGGACCTGACCCTTGGCCTTGTTGACCCTCATCCCACTGCCCTCATCCCATCAATCCAGGATGTGTGTTTCTCTTAAATGCTGCTGTTTCTCTTGATCCCACAGGACAGCAATGGCCAGGTAGCAGGAGGTGGTGTGTCTGTGTATTACTCCCACGTGCTGCAGATGTTGTTCTTCAGTTACTGTCAAGGCAAATCCTTTGCAGCCACCATCAGCCGGGCCAGCCTGGAAGTGCAGAGGCTATTCCCAATCAACATAAAGAGGTGAGGCTCCTGTGGAAGACTCCCCTGAAGTTTTCAGTTCTGTTTATTATTAATAAATCTTACTAATTATTCTTAACATCTCAGCTCTGAGTAGCCAAAGCTCATGGTGGAGATCTCCTTTTTGACTGATGATTTTTTTGGATGCTTTTCAAGGTGCCTCTGCCCCGATTGCAGAATGATTTCCAACCAAAGCTGGCTGTTTTGGCAGTGGGGCACATATGCATTTTTTTTTTTCTTCCCCCTGGGATTTCAGAGCAGAAAGGTGGCTTCAGAGCAGCCTTGCTGCACAGCGTGGGGCTGCTTGCTGGTGCAGCAGCTGGAACTGATGGGATTACCCACCCTCAGGGAGCCTTTGTTTCCTTTCGGCACCAGTACTGCAGTGGACCTTGAGTGTTGTGCATATTAAGGCTTATTTTGAGACTCCCTTGAGGGAAACCAATCTCTTATGCTATGAATGTGGCAAGAAAAAAGCCATTCTGTCATCTGTTCTGACAAGCAGTGCTGGGCATTGAGGCCACAGACTCTTCCCTAGCGTGACACAAAGCCACTGTCTGAGTAAGCTCTGTAGAAGGGTCATGTACCAAGAGCTCCCTAACCCCAGTCAAGTTTGGCTTAGTCTTTTAGCAGCTTTTTTTGTTTTTTAAGTGAGCAAAGTCACACAGATTCTTCTGTATTTGCCATTGCTAAGTGCTGCTGGGTGTGTTGGAATGTGGAACTGTTCATCTCTTCAGTTAAAAGATAGCTGAAAGCCATTTTCAAGTTAATTTCTTGGGCTTGGGCATAAGTGTTACCAAGTGAGGGTCTGTCTTTGAGTTGTCAGGGTAGAGATCAGGGCTGTGAATTCAGGTGCCTGTGCCGTCTGCCCACACTCAGGTTTCTCACCTGTGAACTAGGCACTGGCTGCTCATCATTGCCATGCTTTGAACTTGTACTGGGGACAAAGCTTTAACTGATTTGAACAATGATGAATTCAGTGTGGTTGCCTCTTCAATTCATGTCGTTCTGCCCTTCATCTCTTCCAGTTCAAATGGTGGGAGTAAGACTTCACCAGCACTGTGTCAGTGGTCTGAGGTGATGAACCATCCTGGCTTGGTGTGCTGTGTTCAACAAACCACAGGTGTCCCACTGGTGGTGATGGTGAAGCCAGACACCTTTCTCATCCAGGAGATTAAAACCTTGCCAGCCAAAGCAAAGGTGAGTCATTGTTCTCTGTATTTTTGGCCCTTGAAATGTAATATTTTTTCTTCCCTCAACAAGTTGTCCTTTCCTTGACTTGCACTGCTTGCCTTTGCAGATCCAGGACATGGTGGCCATCCGTCACACAGCCTGCAACGAGCAGCAGAGGACCACCATGATCCTTCTGTGTGAAGATGGCAGCTTGAGGATCTACATGGCCAACGTGGAGAATACCTCCTACTGGCTCCAGCCCTCCCTGCAGCCCAGCAGTGTCATCAGCATCATGAAGCCAGTTCGCAAGCGCAAGGCAGCTGCTATTAGTAAGTCCTGTGTAAGGCAGCAGTGGCAAACGTGGCTGCAGAGATTGATCAGTGTCATGTGGATACTTAGGGCATTAGATAAACTCAGGGCTAACTGCTGTCTGTGTCTGGGTGGGATGTTTCCATAGATGTGTATAAAAATACAAAAAATACACAGCTACCTATGGCACCCAGGCATTTCCAAAGGAGCTAAGCTCATTCTGGCAGCTTTCTTACCATAGCTTTGCCTCTTTAGAATGTACTTGGTCAAAAACACCTCTCTTCTCTTCTAGCAACTCGCACATCCAGCCAGGTGAACTTCCCTATTGACTTCTTTGAGCACAACCAGCAGCTGACAGATGTGGAGTTTGGAGGCAATGACCTGCTGCAGGTTTACAATGCTCAGCAGATAAAGCACCGGCTCAATTCCACTGGCATGTATGTGGCCAACACCAAGGTAAATGGGGCAATCTGGGGACTCTGTTGGGCTTCTGGGTGACATTATTGTCAGGATTGATATCAAATCTTCTCTTAGAAATCTGCTTTGTTCAAACAACCCCACGATACTATTAGATAAGCAGTGGAGGCGCCTGATTCTTAGCTTAGGAGTGAATTTTTGACTTCGTATCTGAGCTGTGGTTTGTTGTCCACAGCCTGGAGGCTTCACCATCGAGGTGACAAACAACAACAGCACGATGGTGATGACAGGGATGCGGATCCAGATTGGCACCCAGGCCATAGAGAGGGCACCCTCCTACCTGGAGATCTTCGGCCGCACCATGCAGCTGAACATGACCAGGGCTCGTTGGTTTGACTTCCCTTTCACTCGTGAGGAAGCCTTGCAGGCTGACAAAAAACTCACCATCTTCAGTAAGTCTTTGTTAGTTGTTTAATTGCCTGTTGGCTTTGCGTGGGTGGGTTGAAGCTGCTGTGCTTCACCTCCTAGTAGGGAAGGTTTCAACCATCCATTCATCTGACCCAGCTACAGGAACAGTTTGAGGGCTGGATCCTGAACATGTAGTAACTATATTTTGGCCCAGTTTCTTGTGGGGGAAAGGTCTGTTCTAAAGGGTTTGTAATGATAGGACAAGGAGTAATGGTTTTAAACTAGGAAAGGAGAGATTTGACCTGGATGTTAGAAAGAAGTTCTTTAATATAAGGGTGATAGATCACTGGAATGGGCTGCCCAGAGAGGTGGTGGAGGCCCTGTCCCTGGAATCATTCAAGGGCAGACTTGATGGGGCTCTGTGTGACCTGACCTAGGTTGAGATGTCCCTGTTTGTGTGGGGAGGTTGGACCAGGTGACCTCTAGAGGTCCCTTCCAGCCTAAAACATTCTATGATTCTATGATTTTGTGTTGAGGTGATAGTGAAGTGGCCTTGGAAAGGAGAAGAAACTGTCAGCGTGGCTGTATCTTAGTGACCCAGTGTGATGACTATCCTGACTTTGAGGCTATGCTTGCTTTGAATTCAACAGAAACTGGTTTTTGTTAGTTAAGAAATTTCTCTCATCGCTGCAGTTGGGGCCTCTGTGGATCCTGCTGGAGTCACAATGATGGATTCCATAAAAATCTATGGCAAAACCAAAGAGCAGTTTGGGTGGCCTGACGAGCCCCCTGAGGATTTCCCCTCTGCTTCAGTGAGCAACGTTTGTCCCCCAAACCTGAATCAAGGGAATGGCACTGGAGACACAGAGTCAGCAGCTCCTGCTGCCACCAGTGGCACCGTCCTGGAGAGGTATTTCTGCAGCCCTGCTTTTATATCTCCTGGGAAATGGGTGGGTGCTGTAGAGGGGACCTAGCTATGCTTGTGTGCCTTCCTTGCCTGGCAGAACTGATGGGAGGTAGAGAGGTTTTTCTCACTGCCACACAAAACAACTGAAAAGTCAATGATTGTCTTCAGTTAGGGCTTTGGGTTCACTCTTGCTCTATCTGATAGAGGTAGATCTGTGTGTGTGTGCTTTGTGTTGCTGAATTCATTTTTTAAAGCAGTCTTGAAGAGCTAGAAGGGATTTTTGCTTTGTTGGTACATTTGCTCATTTCAAGCTGACCCTTTTTCATTCTCTAGAGCTTGCACAGGTCAGGCCCCTCTGAGGTTAAGGTGGTTCTGAGGAGGGCTTTTTGTGTGACCTTGCTTCAGGCTGGTGATTCCCACCAACTTAGCTGGTAGCCTGTATGTCTCAGGCTTAACTACTGTGGTGGAGAAAGCCCTGGGTGTTTTCCACCCCATCTCCCTACTGAGAGCTCAACCACAAGGGCAGGCTGGGCATGTATTTAGCAGGAGAAAGAGACCTTTTTTGTTTGTTTTTATATCCACCCTGTGTTCTTTGAGCTCATCCAGTCTGTACCAGAAGGGCTGTAAGAAGCCTGGCAAGCTAGCAAGGATAGGAGCAGATCAAAGAGGAACTAGCACTGCTAAATAATGAGCATTTTAAGGGATACACTACTTGGCTGTGAGTAAATGAGGGTTAATTTTGTCTTACTGAAATTCTCAGGTAAAGGTTCAGGGCTTGAAGTGGCAGTTACATCCAGTTGAAGGACCTGTTTGACCATCCTTTAATATCTTGTCTAATAGTTCATGGGATTTTTTCCTGGGCTTATTTTCTCTTTTCTTCCTCCTCTGCTGTGGCATCTCCACAAGATGTCCCTCTCTGCACAGACATGCCTTCTGGTTGTCCAGAGCAGTGGGATTCTATTCTAAAAACTCAGAACCAAGAAAATAATTCTTTTTATTTGTACTTTTGTGTTACAGAATGCAGCATGGTTACCTTAGACAGGGCTCTTGGGTAGGAACAACTCACAGCAGGCAAGAGGCAGAGTTCCTATCAGAAGCTGGGTGCCTGCACTTCAGATTTAACCTCCAGTGGTGCTTTAAGTGATGTGCTTGGCTTCTCTGTGCTAGGTGGCCTGGATCTCCTTTATTTGTTTTGCTGTTAGGCAAGTGTCTGCTGCCCAGGTAGCAAGAACCGTGCTTAGATTTACTGTATATAGTGCTCTCCAGCTTCCTGATTTCCCCATTTAATTTGCCTTTTGCTTAGAATGTGTTCTAGGGAGTTTTTCTGTGAGCTTTACACGTTTTATTTTGTTTGTTTTTTTTTTTTTTTTCCTTTTTCTTTGCTCCCCCAAAGTTCTGACACTGAGTCCCTAACCACCCTGGACCGGTTAGTATGCCCTCCTTTTCTCTGCACGAGTGAGTGTGTGTCAGAGAGACAGAACCCATGATGTGGCTTTTGTTGGCTGTTTTTTTTTCTTTTGTTTTCCCAGTGACATTTGCTTCTTTACATTCTGGTCGTTGCATGGCAGATGGTTTAGAGAAATGTAAAGATGAGGCAGTTGGCAGATTTCTGCTGTATGCAGCATAACTGTTGCTTGTTTGACAGACTCCTCTTTTCACTTCGTTCCCTCTTTACATCTTTTTATCCCACTTAGATTCCCCTGCTGGCTTCATGGAGGGTGGCTGTGTAGACAACTGTTGTTTCTTCTACCCCATATCCAATCCTACACTGTTATTTCTCCCTTTAATGCTCTCTCTTCCCTCCTTTTTCCTGGATTCTCACACTCCTCCTTCTGGTGTGTCAGATGGCATTTCAGGTAGTTCTACCACGAGGCTGCGAGGGGGATTCAGCACTTTGCCACTACTTGCAAATCAAATTTTCCCTGTGGGGCAAGTATTTTACCAGCCTGCCTTAGCACTGTCAAAAGTTTGGACCTGGGCACCTCTCGCTTGGGTCCTACCCAGTGCTCCAAGTGAATTTTCCTCTGGCATCTTTTTGGTGCTGAAACTCCAAATTGGAAAGAGCAACCTGTGTGAAAATAGCAAGCCAGTGGAATCTTGCTCCCTCAGAAAAGTCGGTTATGCTTCTTCCCATGTGTCACACCAAGCCTTGATCTGCAGTCATACGTACGTCTGGGGGCCATGGTGAATTGGTACTGTCAAGACAATCCAAGTTATCCCTGCTGCAGGCTGCGTAAGGAAATGTTTTATCCTCTTTGGTAGAGAAAAGCCCCTGTCTTTCAGCTGTGGATTATTAAAGCAGTCCTAAGTTTGTCTGTGAGCGTGAGCCAGGTTTAACTCTGGTCTGTAACACAATGAAATGATATGCATGGTGCCTGTGGCAGGTTTTATCATGCTTTGATTTTGTACTTGGCATTCGTTAGCTGTCTCTGAGCTACTCATGACTGTAGCCCGCATAAAGCAAAGTGCTAAGGAGAGAGAAGGGTTGCTGTACTCAAGCCTGCTTTCCTTTCTCCCTCCAGGCTAGTCGTGAGTTCTTTAGAAGCGCTGGAAAGCTGCTTTGCTGTAGGACCAGTCAACGAGAAGGCAAGTAACTTTCTGAATCCATTCTGGAGCTTTCAGAGCTGGGGGAGGAGGGGCAAGATGAGCAGCACCTCCTGCAGCCCCGGGGGCCTGATACGGGGAGAGAGCCGCATCCGTTTTGCTCCCAGCACTGATCTGAAAGTTGACTTAGGGAGAAGCATTTGAAACTAGTTTAGAATGACAATTGGCATTTGCATTTATGGCTGGTGGGGGTTTTGTGCTGTAGAGTGACCTCGTTTACAAAAACAGCAGGGTAGAAGAAGCCCCTAAATCTCAAAAGCACTGTTCTTATGTAGATAGGTGTAAATGTTCCTTAAATATCAAATGATACCTTGAAGAGGCCCATCAGATGGGTACTGGAGGAAGGTGGGTGGCTCTGGAGGAAGGCAGAAACTGGTGTGCACCCAAGGAGGGGAGGGAGCTGCAGGTATGCTGAGAAATCAGACTCGTGCATCACCTTCATGGTAAATGTACTGAAGAATGGGTTTTTTTTAATCTGTTCTTGGGAACAGGAGAAGAATAAGGTGGCAGCTCAGGAACTGGCTACTCTGCTGCTGTCCATGCCAGCTCCATCCAGTGTCCAGCAGCAAACCAAGAGCCTCTTGGCCAGCTTGCACACCAGCCGCTCGGCGTACCACAACCACAAGGTAACCCCTGCAAGGATTTCAGTGTCTCCTGGAACTTGCTGGTCTATGATTGATGTGCAGCATGCCCCTAGAAAGCTCTTCCTCCCTGCAGTGTAAACCTGCTGCCTGATTTTCCTTCAGCTCCTGCTGCCTGCCTTGCTGGCTTTTGTTTCATCAGAACTTTGTTACTTAAAATGCTTTTGGAAGATTTTGGGGGGAGATAATGTCAGTTGACCTAGAGAAATCAGGATCTTGAAACACATGAAGTTTGTTTGCAAACTGCTCTGGTTTCTGTTTTCACAGGCATCTGGCTTAGGGTGGCAGGAGAACACTGGGGTAAGCAGTGGTCAGCCTCAGTGCTGACACCAGTGCAGTAAATGCACAGATGCCTCTGTGTAGCCTTTGGGAACCACTTGAGTGGTTGTGTTTATACACTGGTCTTTCCATTCATGTTTAAGCCTGAGGGGAAGGAAATGTGAAAATCAGTTCTCAAGCCAGATTTCTCCCATTACAGGGTGACTTTTTAATATTAGTTGTCCTTCCTAGATGACACTGGTCAAGATTTAAAGCATCAAGTGCTGGATTTCCTCAAGATCTCTCCTGCAGTTGTATTTCAGTTGCTTTGTTGTGCTGCCATCCATTGTTTTTCTTTGCCTGTGTTATCTTTCACTTTACAGGACCAGGCATTGCTGAGTAAAGCTATTCAGTATTTGAGTTCCTCCACCAAAGAGGGAAAGGATCTTGATCCTGAAGTGTTTCAGAGACTGGTCATCACTGCTCGATCCATTGCTATTATGAGACCAAACAATCTGGTCCACTACACAGAATCAAAGCTGCCACAGTTAGAAACAGGTAGATAAGTCTGTACTTTTCTTCAGCCTTCTTTTGTGATTGTTGAAGAGTTCTTGGGGTGTCTGGTTTGGTGTAGAAGGGACTGTATTTGGCACATCTTAGATATGTGATAGTCCCTGTAGTGAGGACATCAGAGCCTCTAGCAAAAACCATTTCAACTAAACATAGTGTTACTCTGCTTATTACTGCTTTCCCCTGCACATATTTGACAAGTGTTTTTTAATTTATACAGAGAGTGAAGAAGGGCCAGAGGCCCAGAAACACACAGAAGGAGATGGCTGCACATTTATTACCCAGCTGGTTAACCACTTCTGGAAGCTACATGCATCAAAGCCCAAAAATGCCTTCCTGGCCCCTGCCTGCCTGCCAGGTGTGCTACTGCTTCACTTGGGAGATTCTGAAGGATCCTGTTTGCAGCTTGTAAACAGAGAAAATGACTTGTTCCAAACTAGGCTTAAGATGCTAATGATGCAGAGTGTGCTTTCTAAGGTGTAGCTGCAAATTCTGCTCCCATGCTCGTGCACAGCAGTGTGTGTGTGTTGTGCTAGTAAAAGGAGGCTGCTGATTGATTTAATGAGTTTGTCTTCATGGGTGGTGCTAGAGGGTATTCAGTGGTGGTGGTTGATGGCATGCACAGTATTCCATTAGGTGGACAGGACCAGTGTGTATGCTCATTTTGGGTTAAAACTTCAGGATATTTGTGGTGCTGATGTGCCTTGAAGCCTACAAACAAAGGAAGCTTCCTGCAGTGTGTGTCTCTGTGCTGAAGTGGAAATCTGCTTCATTACAGTCCTACTTCTATTCCTCCTTAGGTCTCACTCACGTTGAAGCCACAGTGAATGCTTTGGTGGATATCATCCATGGATACTGCACGTGTGAGCTGGATTGTATCCATACAGCATCCAAGATCTACATGCAGATGTTACTTTGTCCAGTATGTAATCTTGCTGTGCTCTGTCTCAGCCCTTAACACTGCACTGGGGGAGGTTTAGGCTGGACCTAAGGAACAATTTCTTCCCCTGGAGGGTTGTCCAGGTCTGTGCCAGGCTGCCCAGGGCAGTGGTGGAGTCCCCACCCCTGGAGGGGTTTCCAAGCCATGGAGATGTGGTGCTGAGGGACGTGGGTTAGTGGGACTTGGCAGAGTTAGGTTGAGGGTTGGACTCCATGATCTTAAAGATCTTTTCCAACCTAACTTATTCTATAACATGAAGAGAATTAAATACAGATAGACTGATGATACCTGGTACAGATACAAAATAGAGTCATGCAGCCAGAAGTGAATGAAGGAGAAATTTCTGCCTGTGTTTCAGTAACCTGTCCTGCACTGTGTGAGGGTTTTAAGTGTTCCTTTGTGGCTGCTGGGGGCAGCAGGGACATTAGAAGTTAGGCAGTGAGACAGGTCCTACTGGAATCATGACGAACAGAGAGTCCTAAGTGTATTTTTAGCTGTCTTCCCAAAGGTTGTGAATAAGCACTTAAAGCTTGGAAGTTTAATGATTAACTGTTAACCCTCTAGGATCCTGCAGTGAGCTTTTCTTGCAAACAAGCCCTGATCAGAGTGCTGAGACCAAGGAACAAGAGGAGACATGTCACCCTGCCATCCTCCCCTCGCAGCAATACTCCTATGGGTAGGCAAGATCCATTCAGCTGTGACTCTAAATGAGCATCATCTACTTGACTTGTCAGAAAAGACAAGGAAATAATCTTATAAATAGGGACTAAAAAAGACTAAATCAAACCTTTCTACTTTCTTTTGCTTTCTCTTGCCCCCTAAAAACCTTTTTTGTTGTTGTTTTTTAATAAACATTCACCTCTTCTATGAAAATTCTGGGATTCAGAGAGATCTCTCTGAGTTATTCCCCTTTCAGTGACAGGGAAATTGATTATTTTATCTAGGGGGTAGTAATCCAGACTGAGTATTTCTGTGCATATTTTCAAGTCCTTATAAATCAGTCATAAAGATGTGTACAGACCAAAATGGGGGTGTTGGATCTCCATCCAAGAGATACTTCTTCAGCATTGATTTGAATTGTAGTTGTCATGGAATTTTATTAGTGACTGGGGGTAAACTAAGGATACCTTGTGGAGCATGGCCAAAGAAGGGCAATGAAAGTGGGGAAGGGTCTAGAGCACAAGTCTTGTAAGGAGCAGCTGAGGGACTTGGGGTTGCTCAGCCCAAGGCTCAGGGGTGACCTTCTTGCTCTCAACAACTCCATGAAAGGAGGTTGGAGCCATGTGGGCATTGGGCTCTTGTCCCAAGGACTTGTTCAGTGACAGGACAAGAAGAAGCAGCCTCAAATTGTGCCAGTGGAGGTTTATATTGGAGCTGAGGAGAAATGTCTTCTCCACAAGGGTTGTCCAAGGCTTTGCCAGGCTGCCCAGGGCAGTGGTGGAGTCCCCACCCCTGGAGGGGTTTCCAAACCATGGAGATGTGGTGTGAGGGACACAGGGCAGTGGGGACCTGGCAGTGCTGGGGGAAGGGTTGGACATAATGATCTTAAAGGTCTTTTTCAACTGAAACTATTCTGTGATGAAGTGAGGAAAGAGTTTTAAAGAGTGCATTTGTGAATGAATCTTCTGTAACTCAGGAGATAAGGATGATGATGATGATGACGACGCAGAAGACAAGCTGCAGAGCTCTGGGATAGCAAATGGTGAGCACATCCGACAGGAGAGCCAGGAGCAGAGTGAGGTTGATCACGGGGACTTTGAGATGGTGGTAAGTCCAGAGAGCTTCTCTTTGGAGCCTTTTCAGTATGTTAATAGTGCAGGTTAATTTAGTTATGGTGAAATAGTTTGTAGTGCTCCCTTAGCTGGGGGTGGTGTGGTGAAAGTTCTCACTGTGTTTCTTCTCTGTAGTCTGAATCTATGGTTCTGGAGACTTCTGAAAATGTGAATAATGGGAACCCTTCTCCCCTGGAGGCTCTTCTGGCTGGAGCAGAGGGATTCCCCCCTATGCTGGATATTCCTCCAGATGCAGATGATGAAACAATGGTGGAATTGGCTATTGCCCTGAGCCTGCAACAAGATCAACAAGGTAAGATGTAGGAGTTACTGGCAGTTAAAAACGTAAAGAGAACGTGAGGAAACTGGGAAAGAAACAGGAGAAGTTGTTCATAGCACCACCACCAAAGCAAAGATAATGGAACTATGAGAGGTACAGAGAAGTTAACATCATTCTCTCATAGAAAGAGACTTAGGATTTGTTTTCTTCCTGCAGGGAGCAGCAGTAGTGCCCTGGGACTTCAGAGCTTAGGACTGTCTGGCCAAGCACCCAGCTCATCTTCTCTTGATGCCGGGACGCTCTCGGATACAACAGCATCAGGTAACTGTTCACTGCAAGGAATCAACCTTTTGTGATTTTGACCTAAAGAATGATTTGTAAATTGTTGTAAATCTGGTTTTGAAGAACCAATGAGTATTATTGTCTTTGTGTATTTTTGGTGGCGTATTTATGGCCGTTTCCCATCCATTGATGGACTTTCATTGTAGGATTCTGAGGAATTTATTTCCTCTCCTCAAAACAAAGCAGACAAACCATATCCTGTATTTCCTTTGCATTTAAAAACAACCAGACGTTGTTCTTCACATGTCTTGCATGATTGTCTGGTGATGAGAAGGTTTCCTTCTCCGGGTATCTCCCCTCCACTGCTTTTAGCAGATTTAAACGTAAGCTCCCTTTTGATGTGTAGTTAAAAACTGCCACAAAACCCAAAGACAACCATTCGTGGCTTTTCTTTCGTCGCATGTACATCTTTTGAAGTTCTATCCAGGCAGTGTTTTTACTTGTAACAGCTCTCTTTATTCTCTTAGCTCCAGCGTCGGACGACGAGGGCAGCACGGCTGCGACGGACGGCTCGACCCTCCGGACGTCTCCTGCAGACCATGGTGGGAGTGTGGGCTCTGAGAGTGGTGGCAGCGCCGTGGACTCTGTAGCTGGGGAGCACAGTGGTAAGTCTCTCTTCCTGCACCAGTGTGCATACATCTGGTTTCTACTGGAAATAGGACTTTGCCAGGGCTTATCCACCCCTTTCGCTCTGATAGGGAAGAAATCTCGGTTCCAAATCAGTGATGGGTGCCAAGCATCCTTTGATGGTTAGTGCCAAAGTGCTGTGCAGGCTGAGTATTTCCTCACTTTTTGTAGTTCTCTAACAGTATGGAGTCTGCAGTAGTTTTTACTGGCCTGTAATAACAACACAGTAGCAAGCCTGAAAGAATTCACTCTACTACAGAAGTTTGGATGGGATAGAATTAATTTCTCTCTTTTTCACTTGGGACTGATACCCAGGTAAAATAACCCCAGGCCTTGATAAAAAAAAAAGTCAATGCTGCCCATCCACACCTTTCTGACTTGGTTTAAATGACTGCTGTAGAACCAGTTCCATTTGTGCACAAAGATGGAGTTGGCCACCAAAAGAATCCTGGGGATGATAAGATGCATCTGTAGAAGTGCCTCTCTTCTAGCTTTACAAAGATAATCCGAGATACACTCTCCTTAGAACCATAATCCCAAAGTATAGTTCAGCTGTGTCTTGCTCTGAAGCAGGCAAGATGAGAGTTTAGTTGTTGCTGACATTCTTTCTCTCTTTTTTTCTTTAATCTTCTTTTCCTTTTCCAGTGTCAGGCCGCAGTAGTGCCTATGGGGACACGACAGCTGAGGGCCACCCTGCTGGGCCAGGCAGTGTCAGCTCAAGCACAGGTGCCATCAGCACTACCACAGGCCAGCAAGAGGGAGATGGTTCAGAAGGGGAAGGGGAAGCAGAAGGAGATGTCCACACCAGCAACAGGCAAGTGGCTTTGTTTTCCTCTTCAAGAAGAGCCCATCTGCTCTGCAGTGTCACTGTAGAGGAATCGAAGTGCTGATGTTCATGGGCTTGTGACTCTGCTGGGTACTAAAAATGAAAGTCAGACACATAGAACAGAGCAAACTGCCATTGCAGAATGCCTCCTCTGTGCCTTCACCATGTAACAGGTACCTAATGTGTGCCCTGCAAAACTACTGCATGTGCAAAGCCACAAAAAAGTCCTGTGTGAGTCTAGTAGA